CCCCCCCCCCCCCCCCCACTCGGCACCACGCCCTTCTCGCTTGTCTGTGGCCAAAGTAACTTGTTGCTGAATGAGCAAGGACGTGAGATTTCAGGTTCTCACGGTCCTGGCGCGTTTGTCACGGCCGGACCTTCGAACACTGGGTCTTCCGTCAATCGTCCATTACCGCTGCTAAGTTTTGAAGGGCTCGACAGGATTTCAAAAAATTCTGCAATAACAAAACTCAAGAAAATCATCGCTCTGTTGCGTGTTTACGGACGGAGCCAGGGGTGAACCACCTTCTTCTTTACAAGGGAACGAGGGGCTATCTCGTTTTCGCCTTGGTGTTTGGAAGCAGGGGCGGGCGGGATGTATTGATATTTTGACAGTGATATGTCGCCTATATGATATAATACCAAAGGGCCAAAAATTAACAAGGAGCACGCGCACCCCTGAGTGGAGCTTTTCGACAAGCGCTCTAGGGGGGCGCGAACGCAGCTAAGAACCACAGGAATCAGCACAAAATATGCCTCAGGGGTGTGAAACCTTGGGCTCAATTAAAGGCAGGGAACTGCTTAGACAGCTGAGCTACTATTAGCTTCCCATGAACGGCCCCGATCTGTGGCCTCTCTGACGCCAGAACTTCCCACGTGTAACTGAACCAGGCCTTTGGGACACACACAGGCGTCTTGGAGTCTCAAGATAAGTAGCAAAGTTTGTCCCACTATGCGCCATGTAGGCGCTTGGGCGGAGAGGCGGTATAGCTCCTACTCATTCTTGACCTCGGCACTAGATGGGGGTGGGTGGTCAGGGTCACGCCCCGGCCACCTTTACCCCCGGCAAAGGACCCCGGTACCCATTGTAGAGGGGGCTGGACGCAGAGGCTAGAGGAATTAGACCTACCACCACCGAACTGCACAGAGTCATATCTGTTAAGACTTCACAGCCATCAGCAGCGTCGCTGCGTCTGTATTGAAGACCGGGTCCATCGTCTTGGGACGTGTGACGTGTGTACATCACGACAAAATATGTCCTGACGATGGAGGCAGAGTCAGTTCGTGAAACGTCGTGCTTAATAACCCTTTATTAAAAGAAACCTTCTAAGAGAAAGTGACACGAATGCCGACTAGAAGTGCCAGGGTTCGTAAGCAGAATAACTCAGCAACGTTTAATGAAACACGAGTTCTTCACAACACAAGAAACGAATATCATCAGAGGCTCGTAGGAACGTTCTTCTGAGAAAGAAGGTCACATGCGAGTGATACGCATCTGCTAGGAACGCTTCCACACACGGTAGTGAGGCAGCGGCGAGAGGTGGATGGCCAGACGATTTCCGAGAAATGGCAGAGTTTCGTGTTCGGCAGAAAGTTGACGCAGTTCCGCCCACATCCGCTGCAACCCGCAGCAGGCAGAGTCTTATACGGCACAGAACGTGCTTCGAGCTTCGTATTCGGAAGGTCCTGGGTTCAAATACCGGTCCCAAGGCCCTACCCGAGGGTTCCCGTGATCTTCCTAGGTCTTAGCACGACTGAACAGTGATCAACGTCTACCTGAGTTGACGAAGAAAACGTTCTCACTCCACGAATCAAAACTGAGACAGTGAAATTTTCTGCCAAAAGTCACAATTGCCCGCTAAGTCTAAAGTTCCGAGCTGGACGACCACCCCCTGTCGGCCGTCCACGACTGAGTATTCGATATATCGGCAACAGAGAACCTGTCATGCCGAGGTGACGGCGGTCGTTTGTAACACCCGAGGCTTCTGCAAGCCAGAGGATTTGTGTTACAAGTCGTGAACTTCTCGTCAGATACGGCACAACGTTTAGAGATGGTAGCCGAAACCGGTTAGCTTTTTACTACGCTACTAGTTTCATACCGCTCTGAATGAGTATGTATTGTTCGAAACATGTAAAAATCCAGCAATTAGCCGATTCCCCATTCAAGGAACGATACTCAACATCCACACGCATAATGACTTGGATAAATTGAACGAGAAATGCCTGTGCTCTTAAATTGATTGGCAGAAGACAGACAGACAGACAGACAGAGAGGCTCTGCATTCGAGAGTTTTCTTATTCCCTTGCTGAACGTCCAAGGAACACTGAGCATAACAACTGAATACGTCATTTTACAGCTTCACCCAAATCACTAACAGAAGAGAGAAGTAGAATTTGAAAGAGGACTCGATTTCTTCGTAATTCAGGCAAGAAGCAGCTTCATGAGTTTTATTGTTCTGGAAACCTTCGGCTTAAGCAATTTTAATTTTCGAAGGACGTGACTCGCTTAAAGCACTATTAAGTTCTCGTTTTGTTTCCAGGCTTACATAATTATCGTTGTTCATGGCGGAGTGCCACGCATAAAACGACTGCCTCATTTTGAGAGGAAATTTGATGTGCCACCAGCAGCGTCAGACACGACTCACGGCCTCAGCAGCATCCAGGCTGCAGGAGACTGCGAGAATGTACACCCACGTCATTTATTAACGGAGAAGAGCGGCGTCCAATGTCCTTGCAGCCTTGGAACAAGAGAAAAACGGACGTTCCTTTCAATTTAGATACGGATCAACATCCGCTGCTCACACACTTTGCAGCATGAGAGGAATTCATTCAGAAATTACACGGCTCTCAGCTGTACCGACTCCGCTCAGTCAGTGGCTCGTTCTGTGACCTTCTGCAACATACATTACCAGACAGTTCGGCGCAAGGAAGGAGGTTGAACAGTTGACTGTGCAGCCGGCCGGCTCGCACAGCAGTTCGAGACGCTGATATATAGGATACAGCATGACGTCACCAGTGGTAGGTCGGCAGGTCTGCGCCGTGCACACATTAAACCAGACGCAGCCTTCCTTGACGGATCTGGCACCAGAAATCAAAGGCCAAATATCCTCAAGGCACCGAAGACCGCCACTGGACAAAATCGTGAGCCAGCTGATGCCACCTGCCATCACCAAAATCCCTTTATGTCAAATCTATCTTAAATTCATACCCTTGCGCCGTGATGATGTACCTCTGAAACGTCGGCAAACTACTACCAGACTACGTGGCACAACAACCCAGAAGACAGGCTTCTTCAGAAAACCTCAAACAATGGCTGCATATGCATCCCATTTCAAAAGCAAAACGACTTTAGTGCTGAATATTAAGATAAATACGATTAAAGAGTCTTCAGTTTTACATCTGAGAATGAAGATTGAAACAGACACTTCATCTGTTATTGTTCAGCGACTTAAAAATACGGATCTAATGCAGGTTCCTCATAAATGTCTTCGCCACGCCGGCAAAGGCGCGCATATTCCAGGAAGATGCAAAAACATTGAAAGAAGGCAGTCCCACCCGCACACTGCATACATGACGACGCCCGCCGTCCATGCGCCGTGAGGCACCATTGCCATTCTAATCCTTTATAACATGCCTTGTGCGCAATTCATCCCTTCATCCCGTGCTCTCTCTCTCTCTCTCTCTCCTTCACTCAAATTCTCCTTCTTCCTCCCAACAGGGCGAGAGAGGGGAGATTTCTCTCAAAAAAAGTTTTAAAATCATCTTATTGGTTGGGAGGTCTCGGGCTCCCCAATAAAAAATAGCTGCTTTCTAGAGGGGGGAAGTGACGTTACCGCGGGGGTAGAGGGAAGGTTTTGCTACCCTGAGGGGGCGAACTACGACGCCCATGGAATATGACGACCTCTCTTTCTGTCTATATGGCAGCTTAGCTTGTGTATTGATTTTAATGACAACCTCTTTGCCGACGTCGTGCTGCTGAAAGGCAGGCAGGCTGCACTGGGAAGAGGCTGGATGGAGTCTTCCAAATCTCAACCGACCCGCTCACACGTTTAACGAAGCTTTCTGAACCGCAATAGCTCAGACTGCATGCTGGAGCACCGGGGTTCGTATTCCCTTAACCACCGAGTCCGGTCAGGCTGCGGGATGTACGGATTAGCCCCGTATCCAATGGGCATTGGGGAGTCTTTATCCCGAGGCAAAGCATCTGAACTTCATCCAGTGCTGAGGCCAAGAATGTGTGGAGCTATACCTCCACTTCCCCACACGCCTTCTTAAAAGGCGTGCCCAATTACGCACAGAACGTTTTAGCCTACAAAATTGAATGGTGAGAATCATGAATTGGGAATGATGTGGAAGGAAGTGGCCGCTGCCTATTTGAGACTACCACAGCGCTTTCTTTCAGGGACTGTTGTTACCAACCGCAAGCAGCTTCCGGACAGAGATTCTACCCGGGACTTGAACAATCCTAACAAAACAACATGGCGTCTCGTTTACATGTCAACAAATCTTATCTTTTCATACACACATACACACTCTAGCTTAATGGTACGCACACATCTAATTCTTGGTCTTCCGAGTGGTCGTTTTCCACGACGTTCTTTGTCTGCGTCCATCCTAACTGACCAATATCGTTTGAACTAAGGAACAAGGATTTCTGTTCTCCCCGTGTCGAGTTGAGCACCGCCAGTAATTTCCTTGCTCTTAAAAGACTTTTGTATTCCGAGTTATCGCCCTGATGATGGAGGCAGAAAGGACCTCTGAAACGCTGCAAGCTTGTACCAGACTGCACGGCGCTACAACCCAGAAGACAGCCTTGAGAACCTCAAAACTCATTGCACTGAAGAAGTTTGCCTGACGCCAAGTTAAAAAAT